TTATTTCTATATATATATTAAAAAAAGCTTTAGTGGACATGAAAGAAGCTAAAGGAAAATGCACTGCTCTGTTGGTTGAAAAATCTTCCCTTTATTCCTGTGAGTAAAGAGATGTCTTTAATACTCGAGGAGGAAGAATTATTTGAGCATTTGGATGTACAAAATGGCAGAAGCTATTTACATTGTCCTGTAATAAATGACTCCTGCAGTTTGTCCAGTATTTGCTAATGAATGTATTCCAATTTTGACCAAGGTTTGAAACAACTCGGCATCCCTTCCCAACTGTGGCTCCGGGCTTCTCTGCTTATACAACCTACAGCATGCTTCAGATGTCCTGGTTTCAGCAGATTTATGCAAGACAATATTACATGCAATAGTAAGTTTTTTTTCTGTCCAAAGCTACCAGAAGACAGTAGAAACTGTAATACAAGGAAATAGAAAGCTTCTGGCAGTTCTTCCTCTTTTGCTGTAGTGTGGTTGGAAGGCTCTTTTGTTGTAACTTGTACTGAATGGTGTTGGGGATGTACATCTGCCACGTGGTGCTTGGTTTGCTGTTTAGGCCAGTCCTTTTGAATCCTGCAAATTGCAGATCCCTGACTCTTTTGGGAGGGCAGGCATCAGTACAGTAAATGTAGTCCTGCTGCTGAGCCTTAGCTCTTTGCCTTTTTTTTTGACTGCTTAAAGTAGCACATAGAACACTGGCTGGAAATCGGTGACAAAGCTGAGACTTGTAGCAGCTACCTACCTTCTGGGCTACCTTTAGATTGCACTAAAGAATTTTTTGCCAAGTATTGAAGTTCCTGTTAGTGGAAGATGCCTGGTTTGACTTGCTGAATCACTGTGCAACTGTTGTCATGGCTAGAATGAAAGCTTGTTTTTAACCCTTCTGTGCAGCCTCTAAACGTGATGCTTTCCACTTGCATGTGATCTGGCGCTATACTTAGATGAACAAATTTTCAGGGCCTGTGTTAGGTGTGAAACCTTATTCTGTACTTTGTGTTCTCTGGTTTCAGCTTGGCTTCTACTGCTGCATCTGCTGACCCATCCCATACACGACATTCTCAGGAGATACCAGTAGCATCGGTGACACCCCCGGCTCCTCTCCAGGACCCATTTCCTGCACAAAATCAGCCTGGAAATCAGAATGCTGCTGCCCAGGGTAATGCAGTGGCCAACCAGAACTTGCAGATGAATGCCCAAAGGGGTCCCCTCATGGAGGAAGAGGAAGAGGGTGGCAATCGAGACTGGTTGGACTGGCTCTACTCAGCAACACTCTTCTATGTTTTTGTCAACATTATCTATTTCTACTCCAGTGTCAGCAGATTCCTCCTGGTTATGGGTGGCACTGTTCTGATGTACCTGTAAGTGTTTGGTATTAATATTTACAGTTGTATTCGGGGATGTTTCACTGAAGTACTGAGCTCTCTACTGTCGTCAGCTTGCTAGCATTTGTCCTCTGTATGACTCTTGTACCTGGGAAAGGGTGCATGTGGACTTGGAGAGTGAAGGTCAAAATTGCTTAATTAAAAGTCCTTAAATTTTACTATTGATAATTCTAAAGTGTAATTTTGAACAGCTTATTGTGGGTTACAGGGTTGCTGTAGAGATACAGACCTTCTAGGGTGGTCTATATGGCCTGTTACGTTCGGGTAAGATAGTGCTGTTTCGCATGTTCTTTGTGCCCTTTTGCCCCTTTGTGCACTTAGGGTGAGTACAGAGGTACCCCGGGGTGTACATAACCTGGTAAATAAGCAGGCTCTTTGCACCTCTAGCAGGCTGAGCCCTGATTAAGTGGACGCAAACCTGGATAAATGTAGTGCTGCTTATTATGAATGTGAACAGATGCTCAGTCTTCCCCTCCTACCTCATGGTTTGCTGCTAACAGGAGGCTTTGGAAGTACTTAGTGGTCAGGGCAGAAGAGACCTTTGTGCTGAATTTTCTGTCTGCAGCTCTGAGCAGTCAGATGTTACTTCAGCTATGTTGGTGTAACACGAAAAGGAGTGTTTTTTTAACCAATGCTAATAAAAATCTGCTGGCTTCCCCAGGCACCATGTTGGATGGCTTCCATTTAGACGAAGACCAGTTCAGCCCTTCCCAGGCAATGTTCCTCCTCAAGCTGTTATAAACCAGGACCAGAACAATAATGTACAGGTACTGTTGTGGTACTTTTTTAAACCACAAACATGAAACCCTGTGAAGTTTTAATTGTAGTTTACTAATTAAGTGTAAAAACTTTATTCTGTAAACTTTCATTAGATAACTGTCTTCTATGGAGGAATAATTGCCAGCCTGCTTTGTAGCTAACTGTGCTACAAATTATCTCGGGCTGAATGTTAATCTTTTAGTTGTTTCTGGTCTTTAGGATGTTGTAATGGCGAGAGTGGTCTGTCACAGACTGAACAGCTGGTTTATCTGAAGACGGTGTTTAGGCTGCTTAGTGATAAAACTTGAGTATATAAGCAATCAGTCTTGCATTTCAAGATGATGTGTCTGGCTGATGTCAGTGGAAGTCACTTAATTGTAAATACCCATGTGGTTTACCTGATCAGGTGCTTCATGTCTGTCCTAAACAGTATTCTTCGACACACAGCGTGAGTTAACCAATACCACAAGAGTACAGCTTGGTTTTTCACCTTTGTGGTTGCCTGGGGATACTTGCATGCTTTTAATATTCTGACAGTGAAATTTGGGTAACAAAACATGCTGTTTTACACCTAATTCTTCTAACTCATTTCTGCAGTGGTCTCACTTACCAGATACCCTTTATTTTGGCAGGGGGGGAATGCAGGCAGAGCAGATGAATCTGAGGCATCTCCTGATGAGGAACAAGTTTTGCAAGAACTGCAGCAGGCCAACCCTTCATTTATGAGAACGGCGTGGGTTTTTTTCAAGACTTTCTTTGCATCCCTCCTTCCAGAAGGGCCTGGAGTGACCCACAACTGACTTTTCACCAGTCTACTCATCTGAAACTGCAATGGACTTTAGTCTACCTGAGTGAATTGGATACCAGCTCCAAAACAGGAGTGAAAGTGGATGGCAAGTCCTCTGGCTTTGACTGAGCAAAGAAAGCTGCAAGAAGTCATTACAGTCTAGAGACAAAGATGCTTGCCCTCATTCCAAAGAACTTTGTTCTGTAGTGTTTATTAGGTACCTATGTAGAGGCTTGGCATTGTAAACTTGTGCACTAAATGTACAGGCTCTAAGCGGGTGTGCAAAAATGTTAGAGAAGCAAATTGCTTCTTCTATGCAATGTGATTCCTGTTGGAATGTTTCAAATGCTACTTAAATTACACTGAGTGTAGGATCTCAAAAAATTTGCTAGATATGCATTAGCAGATTTTTAGGAAAGATCTATTGTTAAATTGCTTCAACAATAGTTTAAACTTTCTGTGTAAATACTTCCTATGAAGGATGTATGGTGCAATTTCCTTGTTGGACAGTGGAGGACTGTAAGACAGTGACCTCATTGATAAGCAATTATCTCAGTGGAGTTGCAGGCTAAATTTTATGTTGCCAAATTCAGATACTTTAAACTCAAGGCTTAATTTGCCCCCTGCCAAGTCATGGGAAAAGAGTAGGTATGTTCAGCTCTAGCGAGAATTTATACAAGGTGTAAACGTCACTGCTTTTGGATACAAAGTTAAAGCACTCTAATGCCTGTATTCAACTTTGCATTCTCACTCCAGTGCAACTCTCTTGTATTACTTCACTGTATTCCTTTTAATTTCTGATATGGTTAAGGGCTTTGATTCCAATAAAATTTGCAGGCATTTTTATCCATACTGGTATACACTGTACAGCAATTGGAAGACTACCTGGGCGAAGCACAGGATGTGCTGTCAGCTTGTTTTTATTGAAAAAAATAATGATAAATGAGTTGAGGGGAAAAGATACTTGCAGAGCCTTAAACTCAGCTCCTTGCTTAACTGTGTTCTTTGGCAACCTTTTATTTAAGTGCCTTGGGGAGCTTGGAGCTTGTGTTTGCTCACTGAAAGCTGCTGGCACAGAGGCTGTGGACATCTTGAAGCAGCTAATTCTGCAGGTATTTGGCAAGTTCAGCGTTTGACCCCTTTTGCCCAATGTGTGACTCCTGGTGGCTTTGCAGTGCATTATCTTGGCTTGGGGATTTATCATGGCTTGAAATGCACTGCCTAGGGACAGCGGCTACTCTTGAAACTTCTAATGCTTTTCCTCAGGGCTATCTGCAGTTGGCAAATCTGTTTTAGGAGTGTCTGATCAGCGCAAACGGCTGGTACAAGCAGTTGTAATGGCCTGAGCAATAATGCTTGATCTTACCACCTCAGATCAGACTGGTGTTAGACATGGCTTGTTGGTGTTACCTGCAGTAGCAAGTTTAATCTTCGTGATGTTTTTTTGGCTATGAACAACAATTCCCTTTCCAAGCCTCTTGGTACTTTCCTGCTGCATCTTCGATTTGTTGGAGACTTGGGGAGGATGGGTAGGACAAAGGGGTAAAACTTGGCAATAAAATCTTCTGTAAATACTTCAATGAAGCAATTTGAGAGGTGTTGAGTTTTGTTACTTTGAGTGTATTCTGCCTGAGCCTTTCTCAGAGTTCTCAGAGGTAGTGTCCCCTCTTTCTTGTCCCACTAATGGCAAATGTACCTATGCTCAGTGCTGCATTTTGTGGGTGATGGATTTTTCCTCAGGATGTATCTAATCATCACGCGGGTGTCTCAGCAATGTGCCTAAATCAACTGAGATGTGCCTGGGCCCAGTCTCTGGAGGATTGGGTATTGGCAGCCAGAAATAAGCTGCTTTGGTACAGGTTTGGGCAGCAAGCACCGAGTGCTGGATTATTTGTGAAACATCTAATCTGAGAAGTTACCAGAGATAGCAAAACATCTGTTGTCTTGAGGTTTTTGTTACTCCCAGAAGCAGGCAGAGTGGTTTAAAATTAGCTGGAAAACTAATTAAGCATAGCTAATGTCCGTGGAGGGATGTAGTGAGGCTCCTGGGCCTTGGAGAATGGTTCCTTAGTTGGCTTAGTGACATGTGTACCTCTGTTTGCTGTTGGGGTGGAGGGAAGCTGTGACTACAGCAGCTTAGCCTGGAGGAAGGGCAATGTAAACAGATGCATAAATAGCGTTGGCAAGGAAGGGGATATAGCCTGTGTGCCTGCTGTGGATGAGACAGTGTGGGCCTTAAAGGAGTTGAGGGAGTTCAGGTTAGA